CTGTGACTCTGAGATCCAGAGCTCTGGGGGATCAGGTTGTCCTGGTAGGACAAGGTGGAAGGTGCTGGGGTTAAAGCCATCCCACTTTCACTGGGTTGGAGCCCAGGGCAGTTCATGTCTTCTGCCTCCCTACAGGACCCATGGAAGGCTAGAAGGTCCTAGGGATGGGAGCGGGGCAAAGAGGTCTGACTCCCTCATTTACTCTGATCCTTGGAGGTTTTACCCTCGTTCTTGTTCTACTCCCCTGTCCTGCTTGATCCTAGGCCCTCAGGAGATGGACATGGCCCTCAGAAGCCGGTCCTTCAGGAGTCTTATCCCACCTCTGTGATCCCCAGATTCTCTGCTCTGTGGAGGTACCACCCACCCTCCCTGACTCTAAAGGCTGGCCCCACCCCTTCCAGAATCCTTGCCCACACGACCCCCTTGTCCTGCCCCTACTTTTCAGGATCCCAAGCCCTACCCCTCATTCCTCCTGTCCTTTTAACATCACCTGGTCCTGGCCTCTGATACTCCCCTGGGAATGGAGGTGAGGATGTGAGCATATTTGTGGCCTGATCTCCATCTCCACTGCTCCTCCTTGGGAATACTGAGACTTGAATAGCCTTGGAGAACTGTGCCTATTTCCTCTCAGCAATGCCACTTACTAGTTTAGTGGACTTGGGAGCTCACACTACCTCTCTGTGCCTCGATTTCCTCATCTATAAAATGGGACTAGTGATCTCCACCTCATAGGGTTGTTAGAGGATGCAGTGATATAATGCACATAAAGGACTCTGCTTGGAGCCTGGCACATGGTTAGCACCCCAAAGTTAATGGCTTTCCCTATTCCTTGAGAGCCACTTCCTCAGACCTGGTCCTGCTGTATTGTTTCCCATTTTTATTTAGGAGATGGGTCAACTCACGAGGTGGTATGTGTGGTAACTTAGAGTACAGATTCTGGAGCCAAACTGCCCAGCTGGGATGCCCCCAGCTCTGCCACTTTACCGTCTGTCCAGCCTGGGCAAGTTACTTAATCTCTGCACCTCAGTTTCCTTAGCTGTAACGTAAGAATGATACTAGTACTTAAAGCAGTGCCCAGCACTCGTGGTGAACTAGCTAGTGCAACACCGCTTGTCTTTCCATGGGGACAAGTCTCAGGAGCCACTGAGGAAGTCCTTTGCCCAGGAGTGCCGGCTTATTCTTACAGAGGGGTTCTTGAGGAAATTCCCCACTTGGGAGTCCTGCTCCGTTGTGAGACTGTTATTTCCAAGATTTTTCTGGCTGTTTCTGAGTTTCCCGGAGGCCAGAGGAGGGGAGCGTGGGGGTGGGAGCTTACCGAGAAATCGAACATGAGCTGATGAAAATATGATCAAAACCGTATGGGGCTGGCTCTTACCAAACACTTACCCATGCAACAGAGGCAGTCCCAATGTCTTGAGAACTGGATGTGCTCCAGGTATGAGTTGGGCGGGGCATCGTGGGAAAGGGCCGTTTTCAGTTACATTTTTTGTTAATCAGATGAGTTCTGGGGCTTGTTTTGTGCCAACCCCAGAGCGGAGCAGAGTTGGCAATGGAGACGAACAGGTCCAATCCCTTTCTCTGAGAACTCTATCAGTAGACAGGACAGGGAGTTTGTTGTCCATCCTGTAGATGGGAGCCGGGAGCTCTCTGAGCAGCGATGTCAGGTCCCTTTAGGGAGAGGTTGGCTGCTGGGGCCTTAGGCCTTCAGGGTAGGGAGTTTTCACTCAGCTGTTGGCCTTAAACCGGTAGCAGGCGCTGTGTGCCCTAGACAGGGTGTCTTCTCAGAGGCGGGCAGCAAGGCCCCTGCATTCTGGTTGGGGAGCCAGAAGTCCACACCGTCCCTTGGAGAAGGTGGCAGCCTCATCATTGTCAGGTAGGCAGGTCGGCCTCTGGCCTGCCAGAACTCAGGATAGCGACACACCCTTGTCAGTAAATCATAGTAAAACAGGGAGCAGGTGTGATTACATAAAGTCACAGTGCTGAGAATGTTTAAGTGGGTCGGGACAAGGCACAGATTGCTGGGCTAAGCCCTCATGTATGTGGCAGGGAGAGAAGAGGCTAGGACCCAGTGCCCAGGAGGGGTTGGTGGCTGGGGACAGGAAGGCACGGGCTGGAGAAGGGGTAGGGAGGGCTAAATGCCTGCTCTCTGTGGTACTCGGGTGTCCACCTCCTCAGACTTTCTTGAAATTCTTTATTCCCCAGGCCTCCAGGGTCTGGCCAGCGGCTGTTCGATCCAAGCCCCTTCACTAGCTCCTGAATTATTTTCTCTCTTCCTGAGTCTCAGTTCTTGCTTTGTTCCCAGAGGGTGGTCCCTGAGGCCCCAAGAAGTAGGGACATTTCTGAAGGTGCATGACTTTGGGGAGCCTGTGTGAATGCTGGGGGTTTAGCCTGAGACCCAAAGATTCATGAGTCAAATCTTTGGAGGGACTCTTAAAAATTAAGCACCTCTCCCCATACACCTGACTGATGGGGAACTAAGGTTTTGGAGATGGGGAGTAAGGAAGAGACTTGCCTGGAGCGGCTCAGTGAAGTGCCGAAGCAGGGCTGAGGGCTGGGCACTGAGCTCAGGACTTGTTCCTGTAGCCCCCTCAGCGGCGTGGCAGGGAGGTAGCGTCCAGGGCTTCTGTCATGGTAGCATCTTCCTCAGGGCTCCTGCCCTCGCTCCCCTACTCTGTCTGGGGTTTTCCCCCAAGAGTCCGAAGGGAGGTTTTCTGTCTTCCTCTGTGGCAGGCTGACTTCCACTTGGCTTCCCTGGGAACTGAGAAGGAGCTGAAGCAATGTGCCCCTCACGCCTGTGTTTGTCCTCTGCCTGCTGGGGCACCCTGGGCACAGGATCCCTGAGACACCTGTCTGTAGCTGGGCCCCCGGGGGCTCCATGGTTGGCTGCCTTAATGGATGAATTAATGGATGGATGAGTAGATGGGTGGAGGAGCAGATGGATGGATGGCAGTCTAATGGGTGCAGAGATGGCGAAATGGAGGGTGCACAGGGGCACGAGTCGGATGGCTCATTTCCTCCAGGCAGCAGGGCCACACTTCCCAGCTGTAACAGTTGTTCTTGCATCCCACCCACTCCTGGGGCTCTAGGAGATGGGGTATCTGAGATTTTGAATACCTTACTTCTGGGAGCAGAGGGGAGAAGGAAGCTGCTATGCACTCAGCTCCGTGAGGAGGGGCTGGCATAACCCCCTCTCCACTGCTCCCCTTCCCAGACTGCCCAGGCCTGGCTTTGTTATCAGATGAGGTATAGCTGGGAAGTGATGACCCCCTCCCTTCCCAGGTAACAATGCTCAGTCCGCTGTCATAGCTGTCATCCAACCCCAGTGCCACAGTCTTGCTGCTCTCAATGGGACAGGCCCTTAGAGGCCCAAGTGGGAGACCAGCAGCTTCCCCAGGGGACTTCCCAGGCGTGAGGAGTTCACTCCTTCCAGAGCAGCCCTGTGGTATGCTCCAAGAGTCACAGCGCTTTCATCTCCCGAAGAGGAGACTCCTTCTCTGTAACTCCCTGATCTTAGTGTTGCCTTGGCCCAGGTGCCCACAGGGGCTGCAGGGCTGGTGGTGGGGTTCCTCCATGCTAAATCTCCCTAGCTCCCTGGCCGCTCCTTCTTCCACCCTCTGGGCCCTCTTCCATTCTGCCTTCTGGCTCCCAGGTCTCTCTGTCAGTATCTCTGACAAGTGTGGCCCCAGGATTGCTCAGATGGGGCTGGACCTGGCCCAGCCTGACTGAGTGAGAGAGGAAGGCTAGCCTGAAGGTCAGATTCTGTGTGGACAGATGGGCCCTCACCACTGGCTACTGAGCCTTTCCTCACATATGTATTCATTTTCTATTTTTTTAAAAAATATTTTTATTTATTTATTTGACAGAGAGAGAACACAAGCAGGGGGGTGGGGGAGGGAGAAGCAGGCTTCCCGCCGAGCGGGGAACCCGATGAGGGGCTCAATCCCAGGACCCCGGGATCATGACCTGAGCCGAAGGCAGCTGCTTAACCGACTGAGCCACCCAGGTGCCCCGCATCTTTGCATTTTTTAGTATCTTTTCCATGTCTCTGGTTGTATCTTCTCCTCATTCCTTTTATTTTTTTTAAAGATTTTTTTTTAAAGATTTTATTTATTTATTTGACAGAGAGAGACAAAGTGAGAGAGGGAACACAAGCAGGGGGAGAGGGAGAAGCAGGCCTCCCATGGAGCAGGGAGCCCAATGCGGGACTCGATCCCAGGACCCCGGGATCATGACCTGAGCCGAAGGCAGACGCCCAACGACTGAGCCACCCAGGCGCCCCTGTACTCATTTTCTAGACAAATATTTATTGAGTGACTACTTTGTGCCAGGCAGTGAGACCACCAGGGAGACAGTGGAAACCAAAATAGATGTGATCCCTCTTGAGGAAGGCTGACAAACTATCAATTATAACTCAGTGTGATGAGAGCTGCAAGGGGAGAGGGGCAAGGGCCCTGGGAGTTTGGGAGGGAGGGAGGCTACTTAATCTAGCCTTGAGTCAGGGGAGGCTTCCTGGAGAAAGAGTCATCAAGACCCAGATGGGAAGGCGGGTGAGCTGGTGAGAGAGAAGGTGTTCCAGACAGAGGGAATGGTGGGGGTGGACGGGTACTTTCCCCGCTCCTGGCAGTAGAGCTGGGTCTTTTCTTGCCCCCAGCCAGGAAAGCTGGTTCTTGACAACTCCCTTCCCCCTGGTGACACCTGATCCCTGAGACACCTGGATACCTTGCCTTGGAGAAGAAAGACTGGGAGGCATGAAAGAGTTTGGCTCAATCAGAGAACAGGCACAGGTTTGGTATTGCTGAACCGTGGAGAGTGAGAGGGCTATGAGGAGACCAGGTGGGGCTCCGATCATGGGAACTGGTCCTGAGAACGCAGGGCGTTAAGTAGGGGTCCATGAGGAGGTTGCTCAGGTTGCAGAGGGAAAATGAGATCTGCCATTCCATCTCCCCATTTCCTATTCTGGTCCTTCCGGACAGACAACAAAGAGCAGACAGACAGATCCGTGGGTACCAGTCAGGCTTTATTGGAAGCATTGTGGTCTGGGTGTAGAGAAGAAGCTGCACTCCTGCTACGCCACACTCACCCCTGCTCACACTCACACTCACACTCACACTCCAGGTCCCGTCCCGGCTGGGTCAGGTCTGGTGCAGAGTCGCTGGAGGTCTGGTCCTCCCTTCTGATCCTTGGTTCCCCAGGGCTGCAGTGACTCATATCCCTTCACTCAGACACAGGGCTCCCTCCAGGGCTGTCAGGGGCTAACTACTGTGGCGTTTGTTCTAGGGGAGAAAGGAGAGGCAGGGTCATGGGTTAGGGTCTGGGGCAGGGGCTCTGAGGGAGGAGGCAGGGCTGGGGAGGGCCGGGCTTGCCTTTGCAGAGTTCTTCAGCAGTCTCCGGATGATGCGGTCCACCCAGGGCTGGTCTGGAGGTGCGCAGAGCTGGTGACCCCTCAGTGTGGTGAACCTGGAGTCAGAGGTCAGAGGTCAGAGAGAATGTAGCCCTGGAACCCAGCCTCCTGGCAGGCTCTTGGTGTGAGGGGCAGAGGCTGGGGACCACATCTGGGAACCTGTTTCAGGGGCTTCCTTGAAGAGGCTGGGCTTGGCAAGGAGAAGGCAGATAGGAAGGTGGGGTATCACCGGTGGCTGATGGGGGAGATGAGGCTACACGAGGTCCTCCCACAACTCACACAACAGCAGGCACTCTACAGCCGTCCTTGATGAGGAGGTGGCGAAAGGCTCTGACGATGTTCCCTGGGATGGGGCGCTGGGTTACAGACAGGCAGCAGTCTTCAGCGTCGTTGGCACCACCCAGAGCTGGGGTGCGGGTGGGAGAAAGAAGGTAGTGTCAGGACACCCTGAGGAGGGGAGGCCACGGCCCTATGGCCCTAAGTGGGATGAAGGACAAGTGTGTGTGTGTGTTTGGGGAGGGGGGCATTAAACCTGTTAGTCAGCCGGTATGTTTGCTAAATATATTGAAGTACTTCTAAGCTGTTTGGTAAACAGCCGCTGCCCTGGTTACCCCAACCTCTCCCCTAGGACCTCTCAACTGCTGCATAAATGAAGAGTTGATGCTGCTCACAGCATGGGGTTGGGGAGGAGAGCTGAGGAGTGAGGGGTAGGGTGGTAGGAGACTGGGGTTAGAGAAGTTATGAATTGTTAAATATTTGGACTATTAGCCCTGTCTCAGCATCTCCCTTTTTCCCCACTGTAAACAAATGCATACTGTTCTCTCCCGTCTGGGAGACTGAGGCAGCAGGAAAGAGAGGCTGCAGAGAGAAGGCTAGCCATCGGCCCCGGGACACCCCAAGAGACTGACAAACATTGAATTCAGGGGCCCAGTCATACCCACACTCACAGGGCTCAGGGAACTCTCAGGCTCACCCAAACATGCAGACCTAACTCTGTGTCCCTCACATCCAGCGCCAAGGAGTCTGAGATTTAGACGCCCCTCCCCCATGCCCACCATAAGCCTTCCCTCAGCCTTACCCGGGGAGGTCTGGAGAATCAGCAGGCTGAGGGCCAGCACTGCAGCTGCTTGCGATGCCATGGAGGGCGGACAGAGGCAGACAGACCGTGAGACAGTGGGCGCGGGCCTGAGTCTTGTGAGGCTGAAACTCGGCTGGCAGCGGGAGGGAGCGATGGGACATGCACAGGCGTCCTTGCGGGCAGTGAGGGCTCTGGGAATGTGTGTGAAAGCCTGTGCGAAGCTGCAACTGCCTCTTATTTATGGCTCAGAACTTTCACTTTCCCTGCTCAGAAATTCCCCTCCGCTTCCATTCCGTGGATTCCCCTTTGTCCCCCTCTTTCTGACAGAACCTGACCCAGCCCCCCTTCTTCCTGCCTCAGTAGCTTCCCTGCTCTTCTGCTTTTTTTGGCTTCATCTCTGAGAATCTAAGCAGTCCGCACTCTGGCCAAGAGAAGGGACGTCGCCCTGTCAGCCAAAGATACAGGCTCTGCAGTCTCGCCTTCTTGGTGGCGTTTGCATCATGAACCATAGGGCTGGCTTTCAGAGGTGATGGTTAGGTTTGGGGCGTCAGAGTGAGGGGTTGCATCCTCTTCCCTAAGTTTATCCCTCATTCTCGTTCTTGTCTCTGTGGTTCTTCTCTTCTCTCTGGTGCGGGTGGTGGTGAAGAAGTCTCTCTGGTCCTCTCAGAACAGTCACGAAGCCTGGGGTAACCTCCCTATGCTGCCCATTTGTTATCTGGGAACCAGTCCCTTCCTTGGGACAAGCGGAGTCGAAAGGGAATGTTCCTGGGGAAGAGGCCTGACACCCATCTCAGGCCTCTGGGATTCAACCTCTTGGCTCAGCCAGCGCTGCCCCTTTCTCTATTTGCCATGTTCGTACGTCCAACACCTGGGTCAGCAGAACAGCTGGAGGGAGGCTGGCCTGGAATAGCTCCCTTCGTCTTTCCCCTGCTCTCAATCCTAGGAACCAAGAGGGGATTTTTAAGGAGAGGGCTGGTCAGCTCATACTCAGACAATCCCCAAATTTCAAGGAATCGACAGATGGAGGAAGGGACAACTGATTTCCCATCCTTATGAGAAAGACCAGGACTCAAAAGGGAAATTAATATGTGGAACACCCTTTCAACCATCCCACCCAAGCTCTGGACGCTCTTTTGGATGGGGTGGTGTTTCTCTCATAAATTTCTGACTTATCTTTCTTTCCATCCATTAATAATAATAATAGTAATCATATTTCTTATCGTTTACTCTGTTAGGCTCTGTATCAAGGACTCCACTTTACTAACTTTCCCAACAAAACTATGAAGTAATTTTTATTTATTTATTCATTTAATTAATTAAGTAATTAATTAATTTATGAGAGAGCGTGAGAGAGAGAACATGAGTGGGGGAGAGGGACAGAGGGAGAAGCAGACTCCCTGCTCAGCAGGGAGCCCAATGTGAGATTTGATCCCAGGACCCTGGGATCATGATCTGAGCCGAAGGCAGACGCTTAACCGACTGAGCCACCCAGGCGCCCATTATTTTTATTATTAACATATTATTGTTTCTATTTTACACATAAAGAAAATGAGGTTCAGAGCCCAAGACCCTATGGCAAGTAAGTGTCTTGTACCTAGGTGTCTTTTGCTGTAAGGGTTACACTCTTTGCCACTATCCCATGCTGCCTGTCTGCCAAGTGTCCATTGATCATAGAACAGTACAGATGAGTGAGACTCTACATATAGAATGCCTTGCTTGGGATTCAAATTCCACCACTTGCTAGCTGTGTCACCATGTGCAAGTTACCCGATTCCTGTGTCTTAACACCCTTATCTATAAAGTAGGAATGGTACTAGATCTACTTCTTAGGATTAAGTGAGATAATCCGAGTAAAGTCCTTCGTTTAGAGGCTGGCACATAATAAACACTCATCAAATATTGACCATTGTTATTGTTCTATCCTTTCATTCAGATATATGTCAGTTCATCTATCAATCCATTTTTCATTGATCTATGCATCCTCCTGCTTCTGGTGGTTCTGATTATTCCCTGTTGTCCCAACCTCATCCATGCTCCCACTCTTCTCTACCCTGCTCTGTTTTCTGGAAGGCTGACCTCTCTAGACTGAATTACTCAGGATCCTTGCCCTCCAGCTTCTGTTTGAGTTTGGTCCATAGGAGGCAGCAGCAGGAGATCAGTGGGTGATAGGAGAGAGAGGTTAAGTCCCCAGATCCTTCATCTTGCTGCAGTCCTGGAAATGAATAATTTTCTTTTTGGTAGTTGTTTTCAAAGACAGTTCTTCAGACAGCAGCAGCAGCAGCATCACCTGGGAGCTTGTCAGTTTATTGATATTGGTGCCCTCACCCAGGAACTGTATTAGCTCAGCACCTGGGAGTGATGTTAATAGTCTGTTGGGTTGGTTACTGGAAGTGTAGACTCAACAGTGGCCTTTGATCAATGAGGTTGAGATGTTAGAACCTCACGGACATATTGTAGAACAATGCTTCTTAAACTTTGATGCGCATGTGATTTACATGGGAGTCTTGTTAAACTCTAGATTCTGATTCACTAAGTCTGGGGTGAAACCCAAGATGTTGCATTTCTAACAAACTTCTAAGTGATGCTGATGCTGCTGGTTCTCAGACTATATGAGGAGCAAAGTAGAGGAAGGAGTGCAAAGTTGAGAGAGATGGGAATGTTGGAGTGTACCTGTGATGTGCAACCACTAACTGTACACCTCTGAAGGGCCCCCAAAGATGCTTCCTGCTCCAAGGCAACAAGAAAAGTATTAATGAGGGGAACGGTAGCTTCTTTGAAAAGCACTGTAGAGGCTTCTTTAGGAGGCAAGAGATGGGGATAGGAGATGCCTTCTTGGGACTGGGCAATCAAGGGGGATAATGGAATCCATGAGTGGTAGAGGTCAGATGTTGGCACCTAACCATGAGCAATAAGGTAAATGAGATTACTATATAAACTGTAGGGACAAGTGGTAATTTATGTGCTTTGCCCACAGGGATCTGTGGTGTTATCTAATTGATCATAGTGTTCCTAGCAATGAAATAGATGGACAGCTTACTGATGTGCTACTTGACCTGTGCAAGTGGAAACATCTAGCCCTGGTGGGCAGAAATTTGATGCAAATTGTATTGTACAGTCTTTTACCCAGTTCCTCTACTTAAGTCATTTTCCTAGACTCAAAGTCCTTTGGTCCGGTGGGAGGTGGGAGGGTGTGAGTCTCTTTCATGGGTGGATTCTAGAAATCTTTCTCCCAGTTAGTGGTTTTCCTAGTGCATCTCCAACAGCATCTGCATCACCTAAGAACTTGCCAGAAATGCAAATTATTGGGCTCTGCCCCAGCTTCGCTGGATCAGAAACTCTGCAAGTGGTCCAGCAATCTGTACTTTAACAAGCCTTTCTTGTGATTCTGATGTATGCTAAAATTTGAGAATGACTACTCCAAGCCTTCTCTACAGAGAGATCTGTAGCCATTTGCGAGGTTGAGTCTGAATGTGGAACAGGATGTACTCAGACCTTTGGGGTGTTATTAGCTACAGTCTGTCTTATGTTAATACTAGTCTTGGGGACCCAAAATCCCACTGTGGTCCACCAGTCAGAGTAAGGCTTAATAGAGGTCAAGTGACAGAAGGACCTTGATCCAGATCCATCTCACAGTGGGTCTGTAATACCTGTTCACTGGTTATTTCTCTAGGTTCAGAATGTATAGTGGGAATAGGTATACTTAGTCATTATCCAAATCTTCACACTGGTTCCTTGACCATGGAGTAAGGAAACTTATGGTAGGAAGGGCCAAGTGGAACTGTGCTTGCCCTACCACATTCCCTGCTACAACAGGAAACATAAAATTAATGCTACATTCCTAGAGAAATTGCATAGATTAGAGCACCTTCAAAGACTTAAAAGATGTCATAGCCCTTGGCACTGGGCAATCTTATTTCAAGGGGAATAATGGAACCCGTGAGGGCTAATAATCTAGCACATGCCTTTTTTCTATATCAGTCAATTAAAGACCATTGAAATCAGTTTCTTTTTTCTTTTTCTTTCTTTTCTTTTCTTTTTTTTTTTGATAGACTGTGAGTGTACAGAGTCAGGAGAATGAGGTGGGGAGGGACAGAGGGAAAATAGAGAGAGAATCTCAAGCAGGCTCCATACCAAATGTGGAACCCCATTTGGGGATTGATCTCATGACCCTGAGATCATGACCTGAGCTAAAATCAAGAGTCAGATGCTTAGCTTACTGAGCCACCCAGGTGCCCCAGAAATCAGTTTCTTTTCTATTGGAATGACAGGTGTATACTGTCACGGTCTTACCACAGGGATATATCAATGTTCCTGCTCTTTGTCATAAGATAATCTTGACATCCCACAGAATATCAACTGACGACATTATGCTTACTGCCTCTGGTGCACAAGAAATAGTAATCACACTCCTAAAGCCAATATTATGCTATATGTTAACTAACTAGAATTTAAATTAAAATTTGAAGAAAAAAAGAGCAATCACCCTAAACGCCTTAGTAAGACCCATATATGCCAGAGAGAGAGAGAGAGAGAGAAAGAAATCCTACAAATATCCAGGACCCTGCCACATAGGTAAAATTTTTAGGCCATTGTGGGTGGAAAGAAGCTGAAAAATAGTGGTCTGTGGTGTGGTGCACCTTCACCATGAAGAAAGAGACACAATGCTTAAAGGAAGTTTGGATTTTGGAGGCAACATATACCATATTTAGGTGTACTGTTGCAAAGTATTTATTGGATATGACGTGAAGCTATGGTTTTGAATGAGGCCCAGAGCAAGGAAGGGCTGGGCAGCAAGTCCAGTTTCCAGGAAAGTTGCCCTGCTCCTTGGGTCTTATGGCTCATAAAGCCAATGAACTTCAGCTTTTCTGTGGCAGAAGAGGTTGCTATAGGAACCCCATTGGGAGAATTACACCTTAGGGTGTTGGAGTAAGGCCACACTTCTTCTGCTAACAAGTATTTTCTTTTTTTTTTTTTAATTTTTTTTTTAAGATTTTATTTATTTAGTCATAAGAGACAGAGAGAGAGGCAGAGGGAGAAGCAGGCTCCCAAGGAGCAGGGAACCCGATGCGGGACTCGATCCCAGGACGCTGGGATCATGACCTGAGCCGAAGGCAGACGCTTAACCATCTGAGCCACCCAGGCGCCCCTAACAAGTATTTTCTATTTGAAAAGCAGCTCCTGATTTGCCACTGGGCCCTGGTCTAAAACTCAGACTCTAGTTCACCCAGTGACAATGTGGCCCAAGGGTGTTACCTATAGCAAATGA